TAGTGGTATTACCCGGCAAAGGGTAGTCAAGCACCGTCGAAAAAAACCCCACGACTTGTTCTCCCATTTCTTTTTTGTAAGATATTTATCCTACCAGGGTAGTAGGTACACAAGATATGAACCAGCTAAGCAGCATCAGAAGCATCAGAGAGGCAGACTTCGGCATTTAAATCTCTGGTACCTACCCCCAAAGTCTACGTGAGACGAAATCTCATTCATCGATAATTGCCAGGTGATGCGCACACCAGCTGTGAGGCTCACTTGTGGACTTCAAACCTCTGGTCATGATATTATGATAACAAAGGGAATTCAATGTTCATCTTTTCACTAAGTTTCTTGCTCACAAAATCCGAAATATTGAAATATAAAACTGGGCAAACGTGGTGTAAAAACCTTGACGTGAACAAGACCGACAACAAATCTCAAGAGAAAGACGATAATAAGGCACATGTATCCGAAAACACACTCTCTCGAGAAAGGTATTTGCTCTACAAATTTCCAAAAGTGATTTTCCAAATCTCATACGTTGAGAAATTAGCAAGGAAGCCGTTTCAAATCAAATATATGCACATTCATATCCCCAGGTCTTCCTCAAATACACATAAGAGACCAAATCTCATTTCGAAAACCTCCACTTTAGCTTCTATAAACACAGCATGAAAAGAGTTTGCAGGAGAGCAATTCCCCCCTATCAAATTCGATATCTTGTAAGATTACAAAGCACATAGAACAAAAATCGATATATAAAGAATGTAATAATCACACAGAAGCAGGATTTGGATATGATTCTCAGTGGAGATAGTAATTGTGTACATACATAAACCGAGATAGACCTCATACATTCCCTAAATTTCATAGATTTCATAGCCCAGGAACAGCAAGCAGAGAATCATACCTCCCCTCCCCCCTTCATAAATAACTTCTATCATCTCTGAACTCCATACCGCAGATAATATACCCATACATATAGTCACCTGTCTATTCCATCAAACAAAACTGGAATTGCCCTTCTTACCAAACTATACCATACCATACCATACCGTATCATACTATACCTAATCCACACCCACTCCACTCCACCCCTCCCTCTTCAACGATCCCAATCCATCATACACAGGCCCAAATCTGTTCCAACAATTCCTCTCCACAACAAACCCCTAAATCCAACCGTACCCCCAATCCGCGACTCCAACATATAATACACAGTATTTATCCTCGCCTCTCCTCTCAAAACTTTAGAAAATGAATCCAAACACCCTAAGAAACATCACTCTAAAATCTATACAACGGAATGCAAATCCGATACATAGTCACCTTAGACAAATTTCAATTTGCAATTTCCTAGTCAAAGATCTTTTGATATCCATACATCACATCTTCATCTCCCATATTATAGCTTACTCGATATCGCATGAACCATGCTCTCGAAAAATATATATATAGAAGTAATGAAATATACCTACCTAGTATTCGACATCTGCAATGGTACTCCGATTCGTATAATAGATAATTTATAATAATATAAAGATATCCATCGATTGGGATAGAACTCCATATTATATATTACACATATATATCATATAGATCCTCGATTCTCGAATCGATGATCTATAATTTTATACATGGTGCAGATGCGATGCGATGGGAGCTTGCACGTACATACACACACACACACATATATATATGAGAATACCCCTCTCCGTACCCAGGAGAAATATAAAACTTCCCCCCCTGAGATACCAAAAAGATGTACATCCATACATCCATACATCCATACATCCATACATCCATACATCCATACATCCATACATCCATACACACCCAACATATCAAATCCCCATCATTCCACAAAATCCACAAAATCCATCAACCCGCCTTCCTCGCGATTCATTTACATACACCCATAACCATTTACACACATACTGAGACCACACCTCCTCACATAATACACAAAAGAGCTATCTCGAAACTCCCAACTCCCAACTCACAACTCTACAAGATATCGAGGTTGATCCATTACTTTCTCTTTCTTTTCTCTTCTCTTCCTCTTTCCAAATATCTAGTATTAATATTACGATCTCAGTTTGAATCCTATAGCATGGTATTTTTTAGTCCATGGGTTCCACATCTTGATTCTCATCTCACTTATATCTCACATTATCTCACACACCCAAACCCGCCCCAAGGAAGAATATAAAACCTGCCTTGATCCCCATTCCCTTCCATATACATCCATCCACATCTGCAGAGTCCACAACCCCGCTCCCCTTCTCCCCTCAAAAGATCTCATTCCCTTCCCTTCCCTTTGCTCCCCCTCATCAATGCTCACCTATCCATCGCTCCATCAACCCAACAACCCAACTCAAGAAGCTCAATACCCTCTAAAATCTAAATAAACTACAGGAATCTCCCATCAACTCCCAAATCTCATCACTCAACATAGATCCCACCTTCTCACCTTCTCGACATCTTTTATCTTTTATCCCTAATTCCAAACTCCCATCCACCATCTCCCATCTATTCTACCTTTGCAGCTATGCAGTCGCCAGTCCCCATTCCCCACCTCTCACCCGCCTAGTTCTCTCTCTCTCCCTCTCCCTCTCCCCAAAGAAATAGAATAGAAATGAAATGAAAAAACCCATCGATTTCCCTCCCCGCAATCCACCCTTTCTGCACCAAAATAACTTTCCTCCAACTCAAACCCAAGTCTTCCCCCTTCAAAACAACCACAACCACAACCACACCCCCTTTCCCTTCCCATTCCCCCCCAAAATCCCCCATGAAACTACCAAGAATATAAGCGCCCCATTCCCTTATCCCCCCGTTCCCTCAGTCCCCCATTCCCCAGAACCCCAGCCCCATCCCAGCCCAGCCCTCATCCCCCAACCCTTCCATCCCCCCCCCTCAAAATAAGCGCGACAATACCCTTAACGCCAGCCAGGGCTATACTCTCCCCCCTCCCTTCATCCCAATCCAATCAGTCCAATCCACCCTCTCAACTCCCCATCCATCCATCCACCACCCCTAAAACAAATCGCCCATTGTCCATAGTCCCGCTCTACCCCTGGGTCAATCTCCTCTACCCTATTCCACACTTACCAGTATCCCATACCGTTCATCCCCAATTTCAATTATACGCACGTGTCATATCTACCATCCACACACGTAAGATCTCACATACACACGCGCCATACACAAATCTACATACCAAACACAACATTACATGACATACATACGCACCCTGAGGGCATCACCAATACAATTTTCATTTTCCTCTCTGCGCTTAATAAATAAACTCACCATTCTATTTCGTCACACACGTAAACGCATTTCTCCACTGCTTTTTAATCGGTTCTTACATGCGATACGCAGGCCGACACCACAAACGCGTGCTGTACCGGTTATATGTGTAGGTATATATATTTACAAAGTCAACTAAGTACATAGGTATGGGAAAATAGGCAAGCAGAAAGAGATAGAAAGATAGATGGGTATGCAATAATTCCCTCCAGCGTAGTAACCAAAAGGAAGAGAGATAAAAAAAGATTGATTGGATGTATAGATCCGTCTTTTCATTGATCCATTCGTCCATTACCACCATCCATCCATGCATCCATTCGTCCACTCATCTTTTCAAATCAAATCCCGATCCAATCCATGCCAGATTCTATGCATGCACGTGCGGAAGGTATATGCTGTTGGAATTCCAAATTCCAAATCATCTTCAACAAAAAATTGGGAAAAAAACTGCAAGAGGGATATCATCAAATATACATGAAACTCAAGATGCAATGCTTATGCTGATAATTGTAGTAAAATTGAACAAAACCCACGTGACAAAGAAACCAACAAATGAATCAACCCATCCAAATGGAAGAAGAAAGTAAAAAACATAAAAATGCATTGGGGTATATCGTTAAAAAGCTGCAGACGAATCCAAAAGTAGAGTACGTGCTAATCGTCTACTTCTAACCGTGTACTCAGTGTCCACCAACTGAGAAGTTCATCCAATCCTTCTAAACTTTTCAGTACTAAATACGGAAACTGTAACTTCTTTTAAATAAAAAAAATGCTGAGAAAGAATTGTGAGAAGAGGAAGTAAGCAAGCGTGTGTATGTGTAGGTATGTGTGTGTGTATGTGCACATTTATTGATGTTCCGTGCGTCGGCTGCGCTCTCATTGTTGGCTCTCGCTACCATATCTCGGATCTTTAATGATGGGACAAAAGTGACCAATCAATTGTTCTTTCTCATCCGTTGAAATTAAAAAATGTAACCTTCATGAGTTGTGTAACGGCCAGCACACTCATTTCCTCATTTTCCGCCATACAACCGACACGTCAGAAATCACAGTTAATTTGGTATTTTAAATTACCAAATACTGTAGTATGCAGTCCAAGAATTGTCGGGTTCATGTCGTGCTGCGCCTCTCAATTTTACCAAGGCTTCGTGTAACCCATTTCCACTACGCTTTAGGCAAGCTTGACCCGAAATCTTGGGAGCAACAGTCTGCTGTGTTTGTACTCGGGCCAATCCGTGATAATGCCCGCCACACTTCGTATACGCTTCGGTCCGCCCCTTCCCTTGAATATCCTATAAGAATTGAGGTATAGATTGCCACCCAAACTTCGCCGTCCTCTCATATGATCTTTCGCGGATGTACCTAGCATTTTCGGTCAATCAGCCGTGGGTACATCAAATCCCCAACAACTCTCAATGACGATCCGCATTCTTGCAGGCGCTTAAGCTGCATATGATATGCGCGCGCATCCAACAATAATGCGCATAAAGTTCCATCCCATAAAATACATCAATCATCCGCCCTAGCCTCAAAAGCGCGCCAGGCCAAAAGGCAAGGTTCGGAATGAACAGCTAGACCAAAACCCTGGTTGAAATTGATCGCAATATCCGAAAAAAAAAACTTAAAGTTCGCCGATCCAAACCAAATTGACCAATCGGTCTTCGTTTATAATTTCCCCCCTCTTGAAACCTCAAAGATGTCTATGAAGGGGGTTTGACCGGTGCGCGTGCAGTCCATACATGCCTAGATTATAATTAAGTTAGTGAACTCTTAATACTCTCAGTTCGACATTGCACTGCCTCATTGAGAGTTCAAATCGAGCTGTTTAGTGTTTCAAGAACGCCCAGGTGAGTTCTTGACAGATCTGAATAAGAAGGAGAATACTCACAAATTATTGTAAGCGCGAATTTTCCTATTGCAAATATCTCTCCTCACTTCTGTAATCAGCCTTGTGACATCATCTTTCGTCCACCCGTAAATTCTGTGCATGGGCCCAAGCGTCATTGCTTCTAGTCCCTGGGTGAGGGCCAGATTGTACCATCTTGCAACATCTTTTTCTTGTGAATCATCGGGCCATGGATTAAGGGGAATTCGTATCACTTCTTCTTGAATATCGAGAAACTCTTCTTTTTGAAGCATTGCTCGAATCTCGGTATTATAAGCTAGAGGTCGAAAATTGCGCCGAGTAGCTTCGAAAAGGTTCCGCGCCCATGTAGCCAGCGCCGAGTCGGCTGGAATGTCCCCGAAATCTGAGCGAGGAGTAAAATCTATTTCAACCTGCTCGAAACGGCCCACCTGAGGCTTGAGATACCTTACCATATTGTGTTAGGTAAAGTCATGTACTGTAGAAGGGGGGGTGAGATGGAGGCCTTACCTGCGGACCTTTTGGTATAATGCAGGCCAGCTATTGATGCTCCCAGAAAGCATCCGTATATGGACCATATCCCACGACTCAACTTCGAGTCCCCACCAGGGCGATTCTATGTCTCTTTGTAAAAACTGTAAATTTTCGGGAATACTGGAGTGATGCTTAGTATATGACGTTGCTCGGAAGGAAAGATTCGTGAATTCTTACGTTGGAGGTTGTATTCTAGCTAGGTCAAGCCCGAGAACTTCACCTGTACCCATATCTGAACCATATTTGCTATATACCGAAGTTGTCAGTCCCTTTGTTTTGCAGACTTATGGCCTCAAATGAGACAAAATCTTATTCTTACTCGGCCATATCAATCGCCCATATTCCGGTACCTGTCCCTAGATCCAAAATTCGTGGCCCATCATAATTATTCGTGAACGTGGTATTCCTTGAGTGCAATACACCTCCCATTGCGACTTCGAAAAATTTGTGAAATATATCCATCCGATCTTTCTCATCCTGTGGACGTATATCAGCATTTACTCGTGTGCAATATCCCACCTAACAACACCTGGCGCATTTACCTCGTCGCAAGGAAACATGTATTTTCCTTTATGTAGTCCATGATATAGGCGTCCATTTTCAATGTAATCGGGTGGGGGCTCTTGGAAAGCCGCAGGAGGGGCAGGAGAAAGTGATCTATGTAATTCAATTCTGTCAGCGCATGCGTAAAATCTGGGATGTAGAGAGCAATAACGGAGAGGATGCAGCCCACAATCTCATTTAGTAGTTATCGATACAATTGGCATGTGCGAAAGCTTCTGCTGATACCCAGGGAGCGGTTCTGAGGGCAGAGGGGAATGGAGAAAGAAGCACGTACCCATTGTTAGCCATGGCCATTACAACAACCATTAAGTAAATTCCGGTTCAAGATCTATTGTCGCGAACAGCCTTTGCTTACTCTGCTAACTTTGTAGCATAGATGAAGCTTTTATATGCGATGCTAAATTGTTGATGTCGGATTCTTCTTCAGTTTGAACCGGTGGATTGGAAATGTCGAGGGGATTTCGAATGGTTTATATTGCCATGCAGCCACTATATTACTGGAGTATATCGCCTGTATGCTGCTTCCTGAGCTCCCTGTCTGCTGGCTGACTCTGGTATTCGACCTGAGTAATCTGCTATATGACTGCGTCTCATGGAAATGCAAAAATGGTTCTCGAATGATGTTGATCTAGGTGTTCTAAAGAGGAGCCGCGTGGAACTGTGGTACTGGTGGTAGTAGTGTCAAAACTATGATTGAATTACTTATGGGTTCGAGCTTGTTCTTACTAGTTAGTTACCTGGCGGCGGTAAAGCAAGCTATTTTGACTTTTTTTTATGGCCCCTGTTCGTACTTCGCCGTAACTGTCTGTAGTAACTTTTCTTTTTAAGTTAGGGCGTACAGGTGACGGGTAACGCCCGTGGATAATGGATAATGCCAGTGATATATCTCGGCTCTGGGGTTCGAATTCGTAAATTTGATAGGGTTCAAGGGTTGAATTAAGTGGTAATGGCTTGTCCAGTGGTTGGCTGTGGTGGTGGGTTGCGGTGGTAAATGGGTGGTCAATGTTGACAATTGGTGATAAATGGTGGAGAATGGTAGTCAACGGGAGCAAATCGCAGAGACTGGTGACGATGATGACGATGATTGACAGGTTGTGAGCTGGATATTTGGTTGTCAATTGTAAATTTGGTTGTCAGTTGTAGTTGGATATTTGGTTGTGAATTTGGCTGCGGCTTTGGCTGTGGACTTGGCTGTGATATAATTATGAAAAGTTCTACTAGGTTAGGGTAGGTAGGTAGGTAGGAGATGTAGCTCGCTGTTCTATAATTGAATTGAATACTTTGGAGACCCACCAGAGCTCAAAATGGACAGAGCGCTGGAGATGAGACCACTGATGGACAAGATGAGGTGAGATGAGATGAGTAAAAGATAGAGTAAATTTTAGGGAAAAAACGACCCTGATTCTTGCAGGCATAAATAGTCGGCCTTGGGGAAGATAATGATCGACAGTTCCTAAATTTTCGAAAAATCCAATAATATCCTAACAATCCATAATTTGTATGGTCCTGAGCTCCGGAACAGCTGGGAGAAGTTTCAGAAAGTTCTGTTTTGAATAAAATATTGGGTCGAGTCGAATATATGGTCTTGGATTGGCTGTATGTGCGTGTGTATGGATGTTTGGATGGATGTTTGGATGGATGTTTGGATGGATGTTTGGATGGATGGATGGATGTATGGATGTATGTATACCTGGGTAGAAATGGAGAGCTTGTTTTGTATTCTTGGTCGCGGTACTTTGCTTCCCATCCCCCACTTCTGCTAGGTGGTATTCCAAAATGGGATTTCTGAGGTGGTATTCCCAAACTCCTCGAGTAGAAACCTTTTGTACGATAGTTTGCTGAACTATGATCTGTACAGTGTGCAGTGATTGCAAGGTTACTACTGTCCTGTACTGTTCTGTCCTGTCCTGTACTTCAATTATTTCCGTGCGATCGTTGTGTGACACCGCCAACGATGTGTATTGTCCCACGCCTAGATTGCCAATCAAGGAGGAAGGGAACAAGAGGTGGAAGAAGCAATTGATTCTCAACTTCTCTCCCAGAGATTCTTGGAAAGATGTTTTGTACAAGCAAAGGAAGAAATGAACATAAAAAGCGTAATAAATAGTGATGATGGGTGATGCTGGTAATAGTAGTCGTTATTCGGCAAATGCGTGCTCGGTAGTAAGGAGTGCTAGACGTTTGGATGTCTAGCCAAAGAAGACTTGTGATATCAATCGTGGGGAAAGAAGATGAAATGATTGAAGCTGCAATTCAATAGACAACGGGGTCGATGGCAATGCATATTTCTGGCTACAATCTTGCACTACTTATAGGGAAGTCGAAGTCATCATCAGTGGGGTTAGAAAAGTCCCCAAAAAAGAAAGATTGATTACTTGGTTGGGTATTATGTTGGCAAAAGATACATTGTTATTATTGGTATTTCTTGTTTTGTGTACAACGCTTCACTCACTCACTCATGGCCAACACCAGCACCACCTCCACCTCCATCATGCAAATATCTCTTTTCTTAGCTATTATTGTTGTCATTCTAGAATTTGATACCATGAATGCTACCTGCTACCATTGAGAAATTCATGAAAGTTCCGTTTGCCAAACAGAATCTCAACGCCACTCGGTTGCATTTGTACGAGAGGCACAGAGAAGAATGAGTAGCTAGCAAATGCCTACCATACATAAATTGTCAAGGTACAATACAAACTCTAGGATTATAGTGGTGTATTAGTATACTGTATATAGTTAAACTATGGGCTATTATATGCAGAATGTATGTTCAGTTCACTAACAAAATTAGAATCGAGTTTCTTGATTTAGACCTAAATTACGTAGAACAGCTGGCTGCTTCTGGTCGTCGTTACAGACCTAGGCCGAGAGTTCTTGTACATAGTACTCCTTGGTGGCTTGTCCAACATTTTTCATCTCAAGTTCGTTCCAATTCCCCAATCAGTCGTCTCGAATCTATCTTATTCTCCAATGATTTCCCCTCACACCTGATCCCCTACCAGACCTCCAAAGTTCCAAAACTCTACATCATATCCTAGATTACAAGCATCAAGCTATATCATTTCGCTCCATGTTCCCTACCAATCTACTCCTTGTCCCATGCTGGTAGGTATCGGAAGATTGTACCACAAGGATCCAAGTAGGCGGAGCCGGGATGAAATTAGCGGCACAACTTACCGTTCAAGGCTTGTCTCACTAATTCTTCCTCCCTTAAATAGTAGCTACCATTCATGTCTTGCTTGGTGGTTATGATTTTTTGGATACTGTATGAAAAGTAGAAACCAACAGCCTTCCAACTCGGATGTTCTTGATTATAAAATCCCGGAAATATTGTACTGCATTGATAATCTTCTGCATACTGTTATTTTACATGTCTAATTCTCATTCATTTTCTTTTGGCGGTACCTCAATTGCCTACATCATATGATTTTTAGTTGGTAATTACGATGTAAATATACTTAACGAAATTACCGGTTGACTAGGTGAATTCGGAGTGTATCTTGCGAGCGAGATGGAATCAGTAAATGGATTAGTTCCGCCGCTAAAACCTTGACAGAAGTGGATAACGAGAGAGTGATGAACATTGAACACAGAATGACTCGAGATTATTGGATCAAATCATCGCGATGTAAAATAATGTACGCAGTAGTCACTGCGGGTGCAATTGAAGTTTATATTAGGTAGGTCGGTACCTTGGTATGCACAGATAATATGTGTGATCCTTACCGAAGAATTAATGCTGTTCTTGAGCTCAGAGCTCAGGTGTAATTAAGGAGATACCTATTAAGTACCTAGGACGTGGGTGATATAGTTGATAGGTGGTATGTGTGTACCCTCGCGATATTCCATAGATACTAAGATGAATGAAGAAATGATATCATACTCGAGTATATCGATGACATCCCCGTTGCAGCTTGTACCGAAATTGGGAGACAAAATGCTCAAGAGGTTCAGAACATGCACTGGTACAGCCAATAACTGATGACAGACCAATTCATCATTTGTCTGGTTTCGTCCAGGCATCTTGTTGTGGCTCTGTGAAATGGTGAACTATTCACAGAAACAGAGTGAGTTCAATTCATCCATCTCTCATATCTCCCATGTGTTTCTCCATTGAGGTTGCTGTACATGTTGTAAAACACACACATATATGTGTACATATACATTTTACACATACACATAAATATACACACACTAGATCCTCATTCCCGGAAGATTAATATCGATTTTCAATTCGATATCATTTTCGCCTTGGAACGTAAGACTAAGATGATTGGATATTGGTGAACCCTCTAGAATGTTTCGCATTGGTCCCATTGCGATGGTTCAGTAGTTTAGTGGATCGAGAATAATGTAAGAGTTTGGTAATTCTGTAAAATGTGGGAGCACAAGGGCTCGACTTTCCGTTTTCACATCTGTACATCTTTGCAAGGTCGTTTCAAGCATAATCCTTCTTCGTGTGGAATTTATCCGGTACTAATGAAGCTAGCATATACCATTTTTAAGGTTTTCACTGACTCGACGCCAAGCTTACAGGTTATAACATCAGAATATCTATCTATGTCGTAGCTAAGTAGATGTATATCAGCAAGATATGATAATGAATGCTGATACTCAATTCCGATATCTGTCTAGTCTTTATCTAGGATCATTTTTGTTATCTTCAAGTACATTATCCATATTATCCATATTATCCATAATTTGCTAATTTGATTTCATTCTAGAAGAAGAAGATATCGATTATTTTCTCTCCCGGTCTCTATCTACTCTGTCTATATTCTCCAAGAATAAACCTGGTGAATATCTTCTGATATTTTGAAAAAGAAGACCATCCCACTCTTGCGCCTTAGAAGTCAAGAGATACCTAGGTAGCATCTTCAGCCAAATTATGAAGTTTCAATGATCTTGTATTTCCGCCCGTTTTGGACCAATGGCAGTACCTACCTAGAAACCACTGGTTCTTTTTTCGATCGTTCCTCAAGACTATCACTCCCTGGGCCAATAGCGAAACTCCCAAGATACCAAGAGCTCTACTCAATCTTTACATTTGCCCTTTTCGACGTCGTGCTGACCATACTCTCCACTTGTACCTGAACCGAATAGAATGCATTTCTGGAAATAGATGCGAGTGACCATGAGGATCCCGGAAATGAAATTTAATATATCGCGATTCTATCATGGTTCAAAGCTCGAACCTTATCAAGTCTCCTTGTGCTAATTCGTTGCATCTATCATCGGCACTAACATTCACATTTCACCTGCACCTTTGCGTCACGCCGTACATCGCATTGCGCGCTACTTTC